AGCTCGTGGTCTAACTTAGGCCACTGCCGGCGCTGAGGGAGGGTACGAGGGTTGGGGAAGCCTGGAGTTGAGACGCGGAGCTTTGGGCTCCCACTGACCTGGCACCGTCGTGTCTCCCATGGCTGTTACGGCCCCCAGCCCCTTCTTGTGCGAGAGGCCATGAATGCAGGGTCTTGTCCATCTTGCTGACCCCATGTCCCTAGGACCCCAGACACAGTTGACACAGAGCAGGGACTGACAAACATTTGTTGAATGAGTGTGCATGTGTACAGTGAATGCCCAAATGTTTTGAATCGCCACAACCATTCTCCCATTCTCTTAAGCTGCCCAGAGTTGATTTCTGATACAAACCAAAACCAAACCCAGCCTATCCTAGCCACCCTGAGAAAAACATGAATCACAGATAACTTTGCTGGGGTATTGGCAGTTTCTGGGAAGGGTAGATGTTTACCAAGCTGAGAAAAAGCACTGGGTTACAGGCAGAAGGTCCAGCAAATGCAAGACAAAGTGGGGGTAAGCCTGTCTCATGTGGGGAAGGAGAAAGTGGCTGGAAGGCCCTTGGGGAGGGGAAGATGAGTGTGACCTCCTTGCCCAGCAGACAGACCACTCAACCACGTGGGAAGACATGGATTTGGCGGGGTCAGCAGACAGAATATTATGGATTGAACTGTGTCCTCCCAAAATACGCACAGAAATCCTGGCCCTTGAACCTGGAAGGGATCCTGTTTGGGAATAGGCTTCCTTTTATTATGTTTATGAGGTTTTACCAGTTGTGGTTCCCTACTGCAGCTCTGACAGGAATATACCACAAATGGGATGGCTTGAACAAATAGTTTATTCTCTCACAGTTTGGAGGTTAAGCATGAGTTCATAGTGCTAGGCTCTAGGGGCTGGGTGAAAGCCCCTTAAGCTTGGGCTTTAGCTCTGCCTCCTGTTCCCTGCCCACTGAAGCTGGAGGCTTTTCTTTACTCAGACAGCTACTACTGGCTGCTGAGACTGACAAGCAAAAAGGCACAGTCCCGATGTTACCAAACCACACAGCAATTAATTCAAGTTCATTGGAAGTCCCAAGGTTGGCAGAGCATGTCTGAGCAATGACTCAGCTACATGCAGAGCTCAAGTATACCCTAAGCTGGAGACCGTTCCCCAAGGCTTCTCCTTATATACAGGAAGCAGACCACATTCCCTAGGGCAGCTACTCAGCTGCTCATTGTAAATTCCACAGTGGAGTTGTTTACCAGTCTCATCATGGGGAATACTACATCCAGCTGCCCAGCCACTCAACCAGGCCCAGCCAAATTGACACACAAACTTAACTACACACGAGTGCAGGGCAGGGCCTAAACAGAATCATTTCTGAGTCATTAAAAAAAAGCGGAATAGACACAGAGACACATGTGGGGGAAGACTTCCACGTGGAGACCCATCTGCAAGCAAGGGGACATCAAACATCACTGGCAGCTAAGCAGACGAGGACCTGCACCCTGAATTAGGTCTCCTAGCTCTTGCTAGGTGAGAAAAAAAATGACAGCTCTTTAAAGTATCACCTGTTTTTTGGTTTGTGCTATTTCAGTTAGGTTAGCACCAGGAGACTAAGCAACTGTTTTGCTCTGGCTCTCCAGGAAGCCCAGAGATGCCAGTCTGCTCTGCCCATGGGTGCCCTTATAAATATGAAACGAGCTACCAAAACCAAACCAGACTCACTGCCATTGACAGGATTCCGACTCACAGCACCCCTAGAGGACAGAGTAGAACTGCCTCATTGGGGTTTCCAAGGCTGTCAAATCTTCACAAAAGCAGCCTGCCTCATCTTTCTACCGTGGAACAGCTGGTGGGTTACAAACCACTGGCCTTTTGGTTAGCAGCCAAATGCCTTAACCACTGAGCCCCAGAGTTCCTGAGACCAAGTAACTGCTTGCCAATTGCTTCCTTTATGCTCTGGATGCACAGTAGACTATTCACACACACGGAGTCCTGCCCAGTGGGATGTGGGTGGAAGTGCTGTATGTTGTATCACTTCCCTGAAAGGCCATAAAAGCTTCCAGAAGTGCCCTCTCTGATTTGCCCCTTGGGGGCTGGGTGCTATTGGAGGCAGGACCTCTTTGGGGAGAATTCAGGAAGGGGAGGAGCTGGAGTTGGGGAAGATTACCCCACCATGACTAATCAGATTTAACTTGAGCAAGAATTAAACTTCTGGGTGAAACCACTGAGATTTCAGGATTTGCCATGGGTGTTTGCATTTCCTTAGGGTAGATCCCCAAGCCTCGGAGGCACAGGGGAGTGTCTTTGGTTCATTGTCACCCAAGGTTGGCAGCCAGGCTTAGCACCATGGTTGCTCCTCTCACTTGTTTTTATCCAAGAACCAATCAGGTTCAAGACCTTTAGGGATGGAATTTCAGCTCACTGCCCTACCAAGTGCTAGGTGAGCAGATGGCCCCAGAAGCCCACTGAGCCCCGGCCCCCTTCCCAGGTGGTGGTACACAGGTGCCCTAAGGGCAGAGGCCTGTGACATCTTTTTGGGTGGCCAAGGAAGCAGCATTGGAGGATAAAGTTATGTTTACAAGCTTCTATGGTCACAGAATGAAGATCAGAGACTATAGCCTTCAGTATGGATTACACCTCAACATCAAGAAAACAAAAATCCTCACAGCTGGACCAATAAGCAACATCATGATAAATGGGGAAAAGACAAGTTGTCAGAGACTTCATTTTACTTTAATCCACAATCAACACCCATGGAAGGAGCTGTAAAGAGATCAGACAAAGTATTGCAAGGGGTAAATCTTTACAAAGGACCTCTTTAAAGTGTTAAAGAGCAAGACTGCCACTTTGAAGACTAAGGTGCACCTGACCTAAGGCACAGCACTTTCGGTTGCCTCATATGCATGTGAAAGCTGAACAACAAACAAAGAAGACCACAGAAAAATTGATACATTTGAATTGTGGTGTCCACGAAGAATATTGACTGTACCCTGGACTGCTAGAAGAATAAACGAATCTGTCTCAGAGGAAGTACAGGCGGAATGCTCCTTAGAAGTGAGAATGGCCAGGCTTCATCTCACATACTTTGATCATGTTGTCAGGGATCAGTCCTTGGAGAACGATTCATGCTTGGTAAAGCAATAGGGGAAGACCCTCAGCAAGAAAGATTGACATGGTGGCTGCAGCAATGGGCTCAACATAGCAGTGACTGGAGGATGGTGCAAGACCAGGCAGTGCTTCATTCTGTTGTCCATGGGGTCGCTATGAGTCAGATGACTCAGTGGTGCCTAACAACAGTGGTCACAGGGGCCTTCCGGGATTGCAGTCGGCCTTGGGAACTGGCTCATCTGCTTTCGGTTGGAGTGTTACCAAGGGCCCAGATGTCTCCTCAGCCTTCAGTCTGTATTTTCGAGAGTGTGTGACCATCGCCATGACTGTTTGTTACAGCCAGTTTAAACTCACCATTTAAAGAATCATTCATGGAATTGTCATCCACTTAATGACCTGAGTATATGGTGTCAGTCAGCTGTGACAGCCCCTCATTGGTCTTCTGCCTTGGACTCCTCGCTCGCCTCCTTTCCTGCTACCATCCTGCCTCCTGCCTCCACCACCACCAGAAGTCATCACCCTGAGGTTTCCTTGCTTCTACCCTCCTCCCTGCACCCCTGCTTTGTTTAATATCGACCCAGGACCAGAGTGATCCCATAAAAATGTCAGACAGATCATGTCACCCTCGGCTTCAAACCCATAGTATTCACAAAGACCAGAGTCCTGACAGCCCCCCTCTGAGCCTTAAAGATCAGCCCCACCCTTCCTCACCCCAGCCCACCCCCACTCTTCTGTCCCTCATCCCAGCCCACTCCCACTCCTCCCCTCCCTCATCCCAGCCCACCCCCACTCTTTCCTCCTTTATCCTGGCTCACCCCAACTCCTCCCTCCCTCACCCCAGCCCACCCCACTCCTCCCCTTCCTCACCCCAGCCCAGCCCCACTCCTCCCTCCCTTATCCCAGCCTACCCCACTCCTCCCCTGCCTGACTCCTCCCCACTCCCTGGCTCCGCCCACCTTCAAGGCCCCTTGCTGTCCCTCCAGGCCACTTCCAGGCTCTGGCTCTCTGCTCCTGGCTGGGGGAGCACCTTCTGGCACATGTCACTATGGCTCCCTCATCTCCTTCCCACTATAACCAGCGCCTCCTTGGCCTGCTTGAAATTGTCCCCCCCCTCGTGTTCCCCTCTATGTTCTCCTCCTCAGCACATACTGCTGCCCAACCCAGTGTGGACTTCACTCCCTGCTGTCTCCGTCACCGGACTCAGGCCCACGGGGGGTGGTTTCCTTGGTTCATTTCCTTCACACAGAGACACTCAACACACATGTGTAAATAGATTCTTTCCAAATCACCGTTCCCCCCATCCATGCCTGTGCCACCTGCTGGGGGGATCTCTGCAGGCATGGGGATGCTTGGTAACCTGTGTCCAACAAATGAAGGCGGACAGGCTCCTGCATAGACCAGGCAGATGGCCCACAAGGGGCTGACAAACAAACAGAAGTGGCCCCAAGACGGGTGAACGTTATCAAACAGGAATTTATTCCAGTTACAGTTGGTGTGGACACTGGTCTCGGGAGCCCATATCAGCAGCAGGGCTACCTCAGTGCTGTCACAGACCTTCCCAACTGCCTCCCAGACCCAGCCCGCCATCTATCCCCTCTTAGGCTGAGCTGGGCAGGGGGAGAGCTGCCTAATTCCCAAACAAAACACAGGGTCCTAAGGGCTAAGAAAGAATTACACAACCTTATTTTTATTAACATCTACCGAGAAAAAGCTCAATTCCATCTCGGCTCCAATCCCACCTCTAGCACCTCGGTCCCTGGAAACAGCATCTGATCAGGAGAGCCCTGCTGCCAGACTGTCCTTCAGAGCCTGGGACCTCTGCATGGCCACCACGCATGCCGTGAGCTGGCCACGGGCCCCTTCCTCCCGTGGCACGGGGATGCCAGGGCAGCTGGCCACATCTGCAGCCTTCAGCAGGCAGCTTTAGGGACTTGGAAAAGATCTGCGATGTCCAGCAGGGCTTGGCGAATATGGTTTCCAAAGCGCTGGGCGTTCTGGGGGCAGAGCAGTCAGTGTGCTTGAGGGCGGACCACACCTCTTAATCTCTGAGGCATCATTTTCCCATGCCTGGGCCACCCCCCCAGGTAGCACCAAACTCAGGCCTGAGCCCAAGGGGGGCAACTCACTGTTTCTGAGCTGGAGAACTTGCTGGACACATGGAAGAAGATGGTGTTCTCTCCTGCGATCATGTAAGAAACCCCATAGCCATCGTCTGCTACCTGAGGGCAACGCGAGGGGTGAGGAGAAGGGGAAGCAGTCAGACCGTCTGAGAGCACAAAGGATACTACTCATGCTTAGCCGACAGGGACTGGAAGAGAGGGCCACCCCCGAGAGAGAGGTCAGAACCACCCCCTGGAACATACGCACATTCAAGCACTCTGCCCTCTGCTGTCCTGACCACCCAGCACCCAGACCGACCTGATCCAGGTTCCACCCTCAGGGTCAGTCACACCGTCTTTCTCCACCAGGATCTCTGGCAACTCACAGGCAGTGGCGTCTTAGTGGAAGAGCTGACTCCCAGACACCCCCAGCTCAGCTGGCAGGGGTCTCTGGCACCTTCTGCCTGTCTCCAAGCAGAAATCGGGGCTCCCTGCCCTATCTGACCTCATCCCAAGTCCTGATGCACTCCACTGTCCCCCCATCCTGCCCTCTAGGGGCACTTACCGGGCCAAAGCCACCTCCGGCACCCAGGTGCTTGGGGTACTGGTCCGGGTCAAACATGCGGATCTGGAATTGAGCGATCTGGCTGGTGGAGAGGCGCCAGGGCTCCGAGAGCACCTGCAACAGAAAAGCCATAGCGGTCAGACCTCATGCAGGCCCTACTTACACACTTGTGTGAAGGGCACTGCCCAAGCAGGTCGGCCACACACAGACCCTAATTAGACACTTGTGTGAGGGGCAGTGCCCGTGCAGGGAGGCCCCAGCATGCAGGCTGCCACTCAGACACTTTGTGACAAGCAGTGCTGAGCAGGGAGGCCACAGCAGTCGGCCACATGCACTCAGCACACACCTGAGTGAACATGAAGGCAAAGGCTTCCTGATACCGTCCTCTGGATCCCTCCACTGGCCTCCTCTCTCACCTCCTCCTGCTATGCAGCCCTCACACTCTGGTCCCTCATTGGCCTGTCCCCCCAGTGACCTGCTCTTATCCTCCCTGCTCCGCCCCTCACATCCTCCCTGCTCCACCCCCTGACACCCCCTGTCCTACATCCTCTGTGCCCCCTATCCTGTGCTCTCCCCCTCCTCTCCTTCCCGGTGCCTCCTCTCCTACAGCCCCCAGCCATGCTCCATGCCAGGCTTCCTGTCCCTCAGCACACTGGCTTGGCCTTGGGGTCTGGGCCTGGCTCTTTCCTTCTGGGATGCAGGCTCCCCTTCACTTCCAGCCACCTTGGAAAGGGGCCTTCCCTGATGTCCCCCATTCTCTCTGGCACAGTCCCTGCTGACAGACCTTCCCTCTTCGTCTGTCTTCCTGACCAGAGTGTCCACAGGTTCCTGTGCACACCGCGACCAGAGGGCTGGCATGGTTCAGACCCAACCAGGGCAGCCCTTGGCCTGGGATGGCAGGGAAACAGAGGACACTGACCTCAGCCAGGAAAGGGGACGTGACCCCCAGATACTTGGAGACCAAGTAGAGGCAGAAGAGGTGTCTGTCTATGCCAGCCCCAGTCATGGCCAGGCGGTACATGTTCTGGTGTTTCTGAGACGCTTTCCGGAAGAGGCCTTGAAGGTCTGCTTTCTGCGAAGCAGAAGTGGAAGGTGAAGGTGAGCTCGCTCCTGGGACAGGACCCCCATCCCAGGTGGCTGAGATCCTCACCACCCCATGGGCTCGGGTGGGCATGATGGGGCTCACCATGTGGCCACCCTCCACCATGGCCTGAACAAAGGCCGAGGACTCGCTGGTGCAGGACCGCACGGTCTCGGTCCGTCCCTCCCGGAACATTCTGGTCATCGAGGCCTCATAGGTCAGGCAAAACTTGCCCCTGTCCTGAGGATGGCAGAGGGGCGGTTCCAGCAGGTGAGTGGCCCGCCCCCGACCCGCCCCCACCCGCAACCACGCTCACCCGGAAGTGCGCCAGCTGCAGGGCGATTTGCACGAAGGCGTCGGGGCTGGTGCGGCACTTCTTAATGAGCCCTTTGCCAAAGGGCAGGAACTGGAAGCAGTACAGCTCCACGTCCTCCGCCAGGGCCTTAGCCACCTGGTACGAGCGCTCCGTGGCCGCCTGACACTGCGAGAAACCAAGAGCACGGTGGGGGAGCGCAGGACTGGTTGCCTCTCAGCGCACCCTGACTCACAAGGAGGGGAGGCTCACACAGCAGACTTGAAGGCCTGTCTGGCCGGCCTGCCGTATGGGCAAAGCAGGTGGGCCTCTCCGCTTGGCTAGCCCTGCTGGCCCCGCAGCTCTGCCCGCCCTGCCCCTGTCCCCCCATAGCCAGCAGACAGCAGGGAGGAAACACTTGCTTGGAACCCTGGCCCACCTGCTCCGGAATGTCCCACTGCAGCCGCTGAGGGGGTGCCAGCGCAGGGTCGGGTTTGCCCAGGCAGTGCCCGGTCTCTGTGTAGCCCAGGTGGAAGGCGTCGGTACCCAATACAAACTGAGGGGAGAGGGGTCAGGCTAAGGGGCCCACCGTGTCCACCCCCAGCCTGCCCCCCAAGACCTGCCCAGCAGCTACCTCCCAGAGGTGCCCGATGATGGGGGCGTCTGCCCACGCGTGTTCTGCGTTGAGGCCCAGCTGGCCATTCTTGAAGGCGATGACAGTGAAAGATTTGTCAAACCACCTGGAGGAAGATGCACAGGCCTGAGAGTGGGACAGGCTGGGCAGTCACAGAGTCCGAAGGGCACCAGGGTCAGGAGCAGAGGGCTGGTGTGTGTGGCAGGTGGGGGCAGCTGCTGGAGGGCGGGGTGGAGGGGAGGCGAGTAGGGCCTGTACCCTGCTGTGGCAGCAGCCGTGCAGCAGGGCCAGCATGGGGGGGGATAGCACACCTGGCACCTGTTGCAGCCGGTGCTGTACCGTGGGGGCGGGGGGACACACCTGTTGTAGCAGTTGCCATGCAGCAGGGCCTTGCCGTAGAGGCTAAGGCTGGCCTCGTCCTCAGGGTCGTAGCAGTGGGACTCCTCGTCCAGGGCCACAAAGAAGGCGGCCCGCTCGATGACCTCCAAGGCGGCCTTGTTCTTGCCGCAGCTGAAGAAGGCCTGGCGCGCCTCGGCCCACTCCACCCTGGGGGTGCAAGGACAGTGCTAGGTGGATATGCAGGGGCGCCTTCCAGGAGCTGGGTGAACCATCGCATTAGGCTGGGGCTGCGGAGAACAGCTAGGGTTACCTCCCCCTCCTGGACCTCCTCTGCTCCCTACCTCCCGCCAGCTGTGAGGGCCGCCAGCCTCTCCTCCCCAGGCTGTGGTGGGGAGGGGTCGTCCAAGATCCTTTGGAATTGCATCTGCAGGTCACAGGGCTTGAGCAGCTGTGAGCCCTTGTAGAGCCACACCTTGAAGAAGCGGCCCTTGTGGTAGACGGCCACATGCCTGCTGTCCCCCAAGTGCTGCAGCACGTCTAGAGCAGAGGTGGTGGGAGCTGAGGAAGGGCAGGGAGGGACTGGACTCCCTCAGGCCTGGCCTCTGCCCACCTCCCTTCACCTTGACGTGACTGTGCCAGGCACTGAAGGTCCCTTCACACTCCTCTTTCTGCCCAGTGTTTCAGAGAAGTGGAAACGGAAGCTTTGAGCAATGAAGCCAATTGCCCGAGGGGCCCAGTGCTAGGAACAGAGAATGCTGCGACCGCCAGCCTTTGGCTCGAGCCCACCCCTTTTCTATAACCTGCTCCCTTACTCCCTTGCCCCCTGATCCAGGCACAGTGAGCCCTGGGGACCACAGCACGAGCATCATGCCTGTCAGAAACAGCAGTGGGGGAGGCACCTGTCTCCTTGCCCGGGATCCGGGTGGTGTTGAACATTCTCTCCATCTGGTAGGAGCACATGGGCACGATACCCAGAGCCATCACCTGTGAGGAAGGCCCATGGCTAGGACGTGGCTGCCCTGCCACCCCAGCACCTAGGACACAGC